GGCGGTGGGTGAAGACGGTAGAGGGACAGTGAGTGAAGGTGGGGGCGTCACTTGAAAAATCCGCTCCAGAGCAGAACTCAAAACACTAATGCAGACGAACCCGCAGCGTCTTGCATGCCCAAAATACGGCATCGGTATCAATGAAAGCAATTCGGAAAGCTTTTGGGTGATAGGGAGGTGGGTTTTACCTATTTGGCATATGTTTGGTCTTAGAAGTTTGACTTTGTCTCTTGAAGTCTCATCCTTGACAGGCTTCTGTAGAGCAGTTGCAGTACTCGTTAGGGAAAGGTAGTTTTCAGTTTGAAGTAGAGACTTAGGAGAGATCCAGCACTGAAGTGTTCTGAAGTACTAAACATTGATTGGAGACCGCAAGGATCTTTGGGGGCATAAAGTTGGAGTAAGGAAAAGAGTTATTTATTTGAATACTGTATTTTATTTTAAGCGTGGTCAGAATTTTATTCTGACTAACGGTCCAAAGTTGCTGGCAGCTATTTTGGAAACTTAGTAATGGCATCTCTGCTAGTGGGTAATTCTCTTAGAAGACTAGCGTTCTTGATGTGACAAGCGATGTATACTGACAAGAAAAACAAATGATGAGGATGCAGAATGTGGCAGTATAATCAACCACACCGCATATTCTGTGATTAAAAAAAAAAAAAATCCAGATCTTAGCATTAATTAGTATTTTAATTCTATGGGTGCAAATAATTCAGAGCTTGAATAAATAACTTACTTGCCTGCATGCCAATTTCTATTTTAAAAATAGTTCCATTTCTGTTTTAAATATAGTTGCATTAAGGGTCTTTTGTTTTTTTATGTACATAGTATGTTTAAGGAAACTGTATGTTTGCAGTATTATGCAAAATGTTGCTGGTGAATTTAGATCATGATACCATCAAGTTTCTCTCCAGCCAGTCATGAACTTTTAGCTTGGGCAAATGCTTTCCAGAAACAGCTAACATAGCATATTAATTCCTGTGTTTTGTGAATCTGGGAAGGTGCAAGTAAAATCTAGGGACTCAAAAGGAGGGCAGTAAAGATGGAGGCTTTTCTCTGTGGTGTCCAATGACAGGACAAGGCAGTGGGCACAAGCTGAAGTATGGGAAATGCCATTTAAACACAAGAACACTTTTTTTTTTTTTTTTTTTTTCTGATACTGTGAGAGTGGTCAACCACTTGAATAAGTTGTCTTGGGAGCTTGTGGAGTGTCTGTCCTTGGAGTTATTCAAAAACTGACTGGAGAAGGCCCTATGTAACTTAACCTGATTAATTTGATCCTGCTTTGAGGGACTAGATGATATCCAGAAGTCCTTTTGAACCTTACCTATTCTATATGGTACTCTTCAATAACAATACTAAAACTGCAGAAAGAATATTTATTTGAGGAGATGCAGGAAGACCAACAAAATAAGAATGACAGAACGTTTAACGTTATTCTTTCTGCCCACCAACTGCTGTGTTATCACATGAATATTAAAGTTTTGTAAGCAAGTGTTCTTCTGTTAGCAGGGCAGATCTTTTCATTAACAGTTTGATGTTTCAGATTAAGTATTTCTTAGTAGAAATATTATCATAGCAAATTGTGATCTATGAGTAAAGTGGGGCTAAACTTGATTAATAGAAAGAAGGAAAATATGTCTTAAAATTGTCAGGTATTTAGATACAAATTCTTAGTTGGTTAAGACAGTAACAGCCATTTAGAATTTGCTGCCTTTCACTGGGGAATTTCAATGGCAACACAAAATTCTTTACTGTCTATTTGTCTCAGATTGTATATCAATTAGGGGGGTGATTCTCACAAAAAACAGGAATTGCATTAATCAAGAAACTGCATTTCTTTTTCAGACAGAGGAAATGGTGAACAGCTATATGAATGTCCAATGTGCAGTCTTACCTGTACAAACATTCAGATTCTTGAAGAACATGTGGATTTACACTTAGAGGAACAAAGCTTTTCGGAAGGTACATGAAAGGATACAGGCTTGATAATACTTGAAAGCATTTACAAATACTTGCATGTTGCAGTATAAAATATCAGACAAAATTTAAACAAAGTATTTCCTTACTTAAAAAAAGAACTAGACACATACATAATGGAAGTTAACATAGTTAATAGCAAGCCCTATCACTTGCCCAAGTGCTCTACTTAATTACACACGCTAAAAGAAATATTTGTCTATGCGTGCTTATTAAGTAAATGCACTGTATGTTAGCCAAAACTAAAACTTAGAGCGAAAAATGTTTAAAAGACAGCCATATTATATTTTTTTTTTCCTAGCTCTATAGAAGGTTTTCATACATGTAATTTAGAGTGGCACATTCCAGTGTGATGAGATGAAAACCTATAGCTTACAAAAACATCAAATTTTTTCTCAATTCTTTTCTCTAAATTAGCCGATTCATTAGTCATAGTGATAAAGGAATCAAAATTAATTCTATTTATTAGCATGGCTAATAAAATCCTAGAGATTCCCTATTCAGTTCTCTGATCCTAAATTTGTTTTTGTCACTTTGTTATGAGACTGCTTGTAGTGATCCTAGAAGCTAAGAAGTGTGTGGTATTCAAGAAACTGGGACTTCTTGCTAATATTGAAGTGACACATAGTAAACAAAAGCTGTTTTCTTAGTAGTAGAGGTACATGCATTATTTGCCAAGTAATTGCTTCTGTAACTCTGCATAAACTTTGTCCAAGTCAAGTGTCTTGGTAGACTGAATGCAGTCAGTCCTGTTCAGTGTTCGTTGCTAATAGCTCAAAATAGTCCTAAAATTAATGCCTGGATCCATCAAAGCATTGTTAACCTCTTGATCAAGTCCTTTCTCTTTGGAATGTTATTCCTGGGTAGGTGGAAACATAAGAGATCTAGAACTGGCTCAGCGACTCCAAACTGAAGAAGATAAATGGCAGAGATCAGAAGAAGAGAAGCGAGAGAGGGAAGAATTTAAAAAGCTGCAAGTACAGTAATATTTCTATATGCTAAAATTTTGAACAGTTGTGCTGTTAGAAGCTGAGTACTTAGAACTGTCATGACCTGGAATGAACACACCAGGTCAGACCTGTGCAATCAGACAGGCTGTGTTGAGATAGTGGTGCAGGAGTGGGTTGCAGGCAAACGCAAGCTCTCGGCAACCCCAATCCTGGCAGAGGTGCTGGGCATGCCTGCCTTGAGCTGCTTGGCTTTACTGCTTTGAGCGGTGCTGGCTCAGGATGGGGCAGGGTGCTCCCTGTGCATGCCATACTGCTCTCACCAGGGACCCTGGCATGCCTGCCACCTCGTATTGTGCTCCACCCAGCTCTAGTGCTCTGCTTTGCCATGCAGCCTGGAGCATATTCCCTGGCAGAGTGCCTGAGGCCCTGAGCATCCTGGCTGTCCTCTTCCTGCATACCATCACCTGCTCCAGTGACCACTTCCCTGCTAGGTCCTGCTTCCCTCTCCCTCCCATCTGACAGTCCTGATAGCTCATTTCCCACTTTCGCTACCTCCTGGCCATTGACTGCCTCTAGTACCAATGGCTGTCTGCCCAAGAGGGAGCAGAGGGATGTGCCTGCTCTTCCAGGTGTGGCTTTCCTAGTCCCACATTCCTATTCAGGAGTGAAGCTTGGCCTTCAGCTCTAAAATATCACAAATCTCAAGTTTTTATGTGTCACTGTTCACTATTTTTCAAACTAATTGATAGTGATTTCGAGAAGCTGCATGCACAAAAGGTGAATTTTAAAACTGTGATTTAAATCATGCACATTCCATCCCTAACAGAGACAGTATGGCTTGGATAATTCTGGAGGCTACAAGCAGCAATTTCTAAAGAATATGGAAAGGGAAGTTGATAGAGGAACGATGCAGCCTTTTGAATATCACAAGAGAAAAGCTGACATGATGGAATGTTTGGCTTTTGGTATAGATGATGGGAAGACAAAGACCTCAGGTAAATGCTGAAATTATACAACTAAGACTGTACTTTTTAGACCTAGGTTGTAGTGACCCAATCTGTCTTTAACAAAGCATATAATTGGATGTTTAATATTGGTTACATCCTAATTCTAATCCTTATTTTCTAGATCAGTCTGTACCATTTTAGTCCTAAACTAAAGTAAGGAAATTAAAGCTTGGTATATTTCTAATCTTTATTCTAACCTGAAGACTTTTTTCTTTTTTTTTTTTTTTCTTCTTTTTTTTCTTTTTTTCTATGAAACCTTGGAACCAAGTTGTCTGGTTAAGGACCCAAATACAATATGTATCATAAGATGCAAATGTCTTATTACAAGTTGGTTGTCCTTGAGTGTATCCTTGTTTACTACTTAGTACTCATTGGTTTCTAACCTAGTGTAGCTGTTAAAATTTAGTAGCTTTTTATCTTGTGTTTCAGTTAGTTGTAGTATCATGTAAGCTGGTCCCAGGTAAGCACAGTGTTCATCTGATCACAGAGTCCAAGAAGGGACTGGGAGGAATAGACATCTACTTGATACATCTTCTTTGAAATGTTTTATAATTGGTACAAAAATACAGTGCTGATGGATTTCTATGTCCCTTTCAAAAGGCTTCCTTGTCTTTACTTGCCAAGACCATAGTGCAAAGGTCTTTTAGCTTATTGCTAGTAGTTCTAGCTTACAAAATATCCATTTGGTTGTTGATAGGTAAAATAAAATTTCTTCTGTAAAATGTATTGAGTGGAAATAATAAAGTTTTCATTCTTGGTAATGATTTAGACTTCAGAGAGGAAATCAGAAAATAATTTGTGATGGCTATGGCATGATTGTCTTCACAATAGCATGGCAATATAAAAATTGGAGAGAGCATTCCCAAGCATGTTCTTTCATGTAACAAAGGAGGATTTGGAATATCCTGCAAGTGGATTTTTAAAAAATATTTACAGTAATTCTCATTCTGTGCCATTCCTTTTCTTGTCTTAGTTTCTCCAGGAAAAGTAATTTGGGGAGAATAAAAGAATTACATAGTATGCATATGTATTTCCATGTTTTTAAGGGGATGTTGTACTGGAGGTGGCAGTGGTACAGAAATGCTTTATTGGTGACATTTCTTTTCCTGTTTCATTGTAATAGTTCCTGTGCATATCATAGTTTATAATGCAGTACAAGCTGTTTAATTTAAAATATTCCTTGTGTAGCAGCAGTGAAAAAATAGCTTGAATTCTGAAAGCTTCATAGTACCTAAATTTATCAAAGTAAAGACCATCGAAATGAAACACGTGCAATATCCACTAGTTCTGTGATTTGGGTTCTAGATGTAACGTAGGATCACTTAGAAGTTTTAAAATAAATTGTCTTAACCTGTATCTGTTCCAAGCTGGAGAAAGAATCTTTTTCTGTCAAATTTTGTAGTTCATTTTAGAGATAAACTTTATATTTGGTCTTCTTTTAGGAGTCATTGAAGCATTGTGCAAATACTATCAGAATGAAAACAAAGATGTGAGGCATGTATGGCTTTCAAGAGGAGTAGATCACTTCCACTCATCTTTGGGCGACAGAGGCTGGGGTTGCGGTTACAGGAATTTCCAAATGCTCCTTTCCTCACTGTTGCAAAACAGCTTGTATAATGACTGCTTGAGAGGTATTAAACAAAACGCTGCCTGTTTGTTTCACGTACCTCGGATGACAACCTACTGACTGATGTTTTACCTTTTCTTGTACACAGCAAGGCTTACTAGGTCAATGATACCTATTAAATGCTTGTTATACCACCGCAACTTACTGTGGAAAGAATCAGAGGGGCAAATACTGGCGAGGCATGATGTGGTTGAAGTTTTAGCTTTAGTTTTTTTGCTGCATCTTTGTAACATTAACTGCCTCTTATAAAAGAAGCTGAATATTTTTAATTAATAGACTATTTCAGTAACTGTAACCACAATTCAAAAGCTTTTCTGTTCCAGATACTACGCTAGTTCCTAGTATACCAAAGATTCAGTCCATGATTGAAGATGCCTGGAGAGAAGGCTTTGATCCTCATGGAGCATCTCACTTCAACAACAGATTACATGGTTCCAAAGCATGGATAGGAGCATGTGAAATTTATTCACTCTTAACCAGTCTCAGGATAAAGTAAATACTGCTTTTTTGTTGTTATTTTTAAGTGCTGATTTAAGTGCTGTACCTTTAAAGGTCAGAATTGCCAACAGCGTGATGACAAAGCCACCTTAGTGGCTTTAAATTTAATCAACCTATAAACAGATCTAATTTAGCGCAGCATAAAGCTGTGTAACTACTTATTCAGATACCTAAATTCAATAACTACTTAGATCATTGAGACTTGGTGAAGAATTATGCCACATATGCATAAAATCAAACATTGATTAAAAACTTAATTTCGCTAGAAGTTTCTTCTCAAGAAGAATCTGAATTTCAGCTATTCACTTGCATAATTATGAAAGCTGTTAATTGGATTCTGTAGTGTACATGTATCACTTATACAAAAAATGAAACGTTTTAAATTTTGCAAGCTTCACAAGTTCTTGTTAGACTGAACAGAGTAGAGTGGTTCTTGTTACAGAATAAAGCTTTCAGTTTTGAACAGTATATGTTGCATTGCTTTGTAATTATGTGTCCCCTACTCCTGTACTTAACAAAAAAAAGGTAATGACCACTTGACGCCTGGAATTGCTGTGTTTACAATTAGCAATTCTTGGTACAGGAGGAAGGGACTGAGAGGTGAAAAAGTTGTTTTTAACAAACAACCTGCCTGAAATTTTATTGTTGTTTTCATTCTAAATGTTTGTAGGTGTCAAATCATTGACTTTCACAAACCGACTGGCTCTATGGGTACACACCCTCGTTTATTTGAGTGGGTTTTGCGTTACTATTCTACAGATAATGAAGGTGGTGCAAAGGTAGTGTGTACTTCCAAACCACCTATCTACTTGCAACATCAAGGTCAGTATCACAATATGCTGCTTTCTTCCTGTTCTCTATCTTTCTTTATACGTGCTGCAATTCAGAGCAGCGTTTTACATTCCTCCTTCATTTAACTGAAGGCATGACTGTATTTCCTGTTATTTTTTTATTTAGTAAAAGCAACATTAAAGTTTGTATTTTTATTGGATGGAAGAGCTGGGTGTGACTGGGATCTCAACTTTGTGACCTCTGCTCTGTACTTAAACTACCTTTCTAAATTTCAAGTAGTATCTTCCTTGATCTGAAAATAAGTAGTATGCTACGAGGAAGTAAGTGGGATTTGTGTGTTTTTAAAATACTGAAAAACTATTTTGAAATTAGGTCATAGTCGTACTGTTGTTGGAATAGAAGAGAAGAAGAATAAAACCTTATGTTTGCTACTGTTTGACCCAGGATGTCCTTCCCAAGAAATGCAGAAATTGCTAAAACAAAACAGTGATGGTACTAGTCTCAAACTACTTCGGAGATTTGTGGGTAGCTTAAAAGAAAAGCAGTACCAGATAGTGGCAGTAGATGGTGTACTCTCATTGGAAGAGAAAGCTGTAAGTATTTCGGAAAATAGTTTCTAAGAAAATTTAAGAGAATCTGCATCTCTTCTTTAATACTCAAATGCATATGCATATATGGTTCCATGGTGAATTTTTTTCATCTCATCACTTTCCTCGTTCGTTGTTCTTCTCTGCTACTTTCTGCTTATTCTCTGAATTGAGTAATCACAGGATATCAATACCAAAAAAGTTTTGCATGTCAATGCATGCCACCCTGATGTAACTGACAACTTCGAAGTCTTTTGTGAAGCTTGCAGCCGTTTGCACATGTAAATTAGGCTTCTTTTTTTTTTTCTTTTAATTTTCTTACAATACCTTCTCCTAAGTAATTTACTGTGGGCGTATAAGGTACTTACAAAGTATTCATAGTCCATAGGGGTTTTATTGCACCTTTGTAAAGCTATGTGGTGTCTATCAGCCTTTGATAGTTGAAATACAAGGCACACAGATACTGAGGCCTAACCATCCAATGTCTCTTCAGCTTGGGCACTAGGACTAGTGCGTTCTGCTTTCTGAAAGTACTTAGAACTTCGTATATTCAAAACACACGTCTGAGCAATTTACATGTTTGAGCTGTCAGCATTTTTATAAATCCTATCCACATGTTTCACTTTGGGCATTGTAACTTTCTAAGACCTTAGAAGTTTTCAGCTGAATGTCAGATGTGATTTTTGTTCCTTAAGCTTTCTCCTTCCTACACTAACAAATTGATTCCAATGAACTGATGTTCCGATTCTTTGGTGTCTTATCAGCACCATTCAGCATGTTCAAGCATCAGGACAGACTTTTATTTAAACTATGAAATAAGTGGTGACTGAGTCACCTGCTCGACTGTATTTAACATCTGTATATTGAAATAAGATATCGTCTTAAGTGTTTTCTGGCCCTGAACATGTCAGAAATAGCAATGAAACGCAGCCATCATCTTTTGCTCCTGCTGGCAAAAGTTTTATAATTCAGGACACGGTAAAAGGAAGAGTGTTGTATGGGATTTGTGCGGGGTGCTTTGGTTTTGGTTTTTTCCTCTTTTCAAAGATCTGATTTATATTTAAAAATATCAATTACTTAGAATTTTGTCTTGAAAGCTCCCATTTAATTAAGATGAAATATAACCCCTTATACTCATTAAGCTTACTAAACTACTAATTTGGAAAATGCTCTTTAAAGTGGTATTTTTCGTTCATTAAACGATTCTCTTTCCCCACTCCCCACCCTTTTTTAGGCTCGCTGCCATGCTTCTCAGGTCTTAACATCGGAGAAGATTCCTTAAAGGATGCCTTTATTACCTCTTTTGGAATCTGCTGGATGCAAAACATTAAACTTCTGGACTGTGACGCTAACTAAACAATTTCTAGACTTAAAACTATGTCTCCATAAATGTTTGGGGGCTCTGGAGAAGCACAACACTAGAGTAAACCTGTAGTTTTGATCTTCAGTCAAAACTCTGCCCTCCTGATGAATCTGTAACTGAAGTATTACAGTTCTTGTCTTACTAGAAAATTTGCTATTTTCTTAGTTGCTTAAATCACAAAGCAACACCTACCATCCCATAGCAAACTATGCACCATAGTTAACTGTCAATAAGCAGTGGATGGAGGTACTGTGGAGCTACTTTATTGGAGTGACTCTGTAAATATACTTACGCTTACTCTGGCCAATGCTCTATTTCTTACCAAATTTGATCAACAATTATCTATTATGCCTCAGCAAATTCTCCTGCAACTATTTGCAAAGTACAGAGACAGTTCAGTGATTTTGCATGATACAGTCTGTTCCACCAGGGATTCGTTAACTACTGAACTTCTTTTCAGTTAGCTGGCTTCTCTAGATGTATCACTTGTAAACGTGAACATGTGTGCTTATGAGGTAGATCAGCATTAGCATTGGCTGTGAGGTCTAAGATAGTGGTGTCCAAAGTGGGGTGCGTGTGCTCTAGGGGCTACATACGACAATCCATTGGGGTATAGGAAGAAAATATTTCTTTTGTACCATGAATAAAATAAAAAAAAAATTTTTAGAAGTGTTTATTTCATCTTTATTTCATCCTTTTTTATTTCTATTTTTTCTGTATATACATTTTTATAATGTATAGCCCCTAGGCTTCAGAGGCATCTCAAAAGGACATTTGAACTGACTGTTGACGAGGGGCTCCATTGTGCTGTTCAAGACACTGGAGCTATCTGCTGAGACCGCTATCTTGGGTGTTTGAGGCACCCTACTGTCTCTTAAGACATGCTGCTGTGGCTGAATGCAAGAGTCATGCCTCTCCAGCAGGGCAGCTGGAGGCTGGGAGGGGATGGTCAGGTGTGTTGCGAATAGCACTAGATGCCTTTGTTTAAGCAACTGAATCATTCATGGCACCCATTTACTGTAACTGGAGTTTAGATACTTCCCTTTCATTTGGACTCTTACATGTTGACACCTAGATGTAGGTGTAGGGGCTTTAGCATTGATCTGTTTAATGTGCTGTGGCTAGTAATCTTTGGAAGTAATGAAATGCATGAACATGTAAAGATATTACAACGCATAAATAAAAAATTTTTCTGAAACATTCATGAAAGTAAAAATTTTAATTATGGAAATGCATTCATTCCAGTAGGTATGTAGAAGTGACCTATAACTTGTGAAAGGATTAAATATTTAGGACACTGGAGGAGCTGAGACTAGGGAGAGAGTTCCTGGGAATTGGGGGACCATCAGCTCCCATATTAGCCCTGGTCTGCGTGGCACATGTTCTTAGGCCACGTGAGGTTTTGCAGCCATGCGATCATTTAACCTCTCATGGATACACTTCAATCTTTTCTGCACTATTCCCTCACCTCTCCTGTAGCTGGGGCTGAGTCTGCTGCTGGCTAAGGCTCTGCTAATTGCAGACTGAGTGTGGTTTTTACCAGTGTGACACTGTGCCCAGATGCATAAAACTAAGAAGCAGGAGTTGCAGCTCAGCCCCAGCTCTTCACTGTGTGTTCAAACTGCCATTGGGACTAAGCTGGTGTTTCAGTGAAATGCTGTAATGCACCGAATTTGAAGTATCTCCTTGTACTGGCTTCCTGCATAGTCACCATGGGGCAGCTAGGTAATAAGCGGGCAGAAGAGTGGGAGTCTCACTTGATCCAGCAGAAGATGCCTCTGCAAAGGCCCTTGCAACAGCGATTCCTGGCACCACCTTGACAGCAACCAGCCACTTGTGATATTTGATTCCCTGTGTAAGCATGACCTTACGCCAAGATCCCAATAAATTTTGTTGTCTTTGTTTTGTTGGGTTTTTGTTTTGTTTTTTAACAAGCACTCTGGGAGTGTCAGAGCAACACAAGCCTAATTACAGTTTTATTAAGGTCAAGTACCTGGTGTCTCACTTGTTTCAGCTTGACTCCAGGAACCAACCAAGGTAATCATGGTATAACAAACAATAGCCTTTTCAGGGAATTGCAGCTGGGGCAGGGTAATGGGGTGACTTTTAAAGTTTAGCTGGCACCACTGGAAAGAAAGCAGTGGTGTAACAAAACGTTAAAATACCCCTAATGAGACCCAGGACTATAGCCTGAATTGCTACCAAAAGTTTGCCCTGAAGGAGAGAATGAGTGCATTTGGGCTCAGTACTCACTAAAGTAACTGCTTAAGGGATGTTGCCTCTTATCATCAGACTCCCCTGGGTTCACAGAAGCTGAACTTTTTATCTTCTTTGCAAGTAGTTGCCTCACAGAAACAAGGGGATCCTGTTTGGATCTATTTGCAAGACCCAGAATATTTGGTTAACTGCTTGGGTGAAGAAACTGACGGTGTGTTCCTGAAATTCCAAAAAGGACTTCGATCTGCTTTTCTCTTCCCAGGCAGCAGGGCAACGGAAGGAGTAGTACACTTCTGTAATCAGAATTAAATCACAGACACTTGTCATTACTGGGGGTCCTGTTATAAGGGGCCTCAAACAAGAATACACCCAAGGACGTAATTTGCAACTGTGAATGGTCCATCCTGGTGGAGTGTAGATAAACCAGCAGACACCAATTGAAACCAAGATAAGGAACTTGAGAATTTTACAAACAGAGAGATAAGCAAAGACAAGACCGTATATGGAAAAGAATGGAATGAATATATATAATTCTTCCGGGAGATCCAATGTATATGTATGATGTAGGACGATATAAGCTGTAACTGACGCAACACGCGGCATGCACGTTAGGAGGAATGATCCCCCATGCATCCAGCGCTGTAATGAAGAGAATGCCTGCTTCTTAATACTCCATTGGGGTTAAGAGGTTTATTCCCGATTTCAGTGATGGTCCTAGCCGCTCATGTTCAGCTGCAAACTGTGTTTTCTGGAAAAAGCAGTGAAGGAGTGTCTGCAAACCTATGCAAGACAGAGCACAAACTGATTACTGAAAGGCCTTCTGAGTCTGCTGTACATCAAGTGCTGAAGCAGTTTATTCTTTACATGGAGTAAACTAACTCTCAGAAAAGCTTTAGGTGATTATCGTGAAAGTTGCCAATTGGGTTCATCAGAAGCTATAACTGTTTTACCATTATTTTGAAAATGTGTTCATTTGTCCTTGGGAACAATGTCAAAACTGTAAATTCAAAATTTTGGGGGTGAAATGTTTCATGCTTTTTTGTCTATTTATATTCAATTTATCTTATATATGACTTGTCCAAATACTTTTTTATATACTATAATACTAAGAACTTATAGAGTCTTTAATGTGAACATTATTTTGAGGCAAAAAATCAAGTAATCTAATTCTAGTACGCTAGTAATATTCTAGTAATTCTAGTATTTAATTCTAATTCACATTACTTTATAGATAGGCATTTTTAGATGAAATGTTCCTAATTGAAGGTTCCAGTGAAAAATGAGGATTTTGGTGACCCCTAGGTTTTTCTCACAGAAATAATTTTAACACATTCTAATTATTCTCTTGGGCTATATCGCAGTGAATTTCATTGCACCCTCCAGCCCTGAAAGTGATGATTTCCTCTGCACAGGCAAGAGCTCGCCTTGCTAGGTGTTTTCTAGCATATTATTTCAGTACTGTTCCTCTCCTTTCTACAGGTGGCATGGGGACATCCCAGGGAGTCACGTAGGAGGCATCTGTAGACTGGAGGGAAATGGTAAGTTTTAATTTAATATCTCATGGTTATTTCTTAATAGTTTTCATACGCAGAGAACGTTCAGACAACGCTGGATGGATTACACTGCATTTTCCATGGAAGCACAGCAAATAAAGGGCTTTTATGTTTGTTTAATGGCAGTCAGATTCTAGAGATGAAGAGTTTAGAGAAGGGTGTTACTATGAGGAACTACTGCCATTTGAGCCCTGATTATAAAAACAGTATTCTTCATACCATGTGCTAAACAGCAGGTGTTGAGAGCGCTTCTGTCCCAGTTGGGAAGCATTTATTTCCTAAAAGCGGTTAGGTGTCATACATCAGTGTTTCATTATTCTGTAGTGTCAGCGCAAAGTCAGCATTTATCTCTGCCTATTCTAGCAACTTGGGTGATAAATTCATCCTCATGGAGAATTTGTCTGTTTCTAAATCACATCTAGTTAATGTTTTGAGGTAATATATCTTCCCTGAGTTTAAAAAAAGATGTTTTCTTGCAGACTATCTGTATCTACAGAAAATTTAAGGATAGGTTAGTCGTCTTTATTCATTCCTTCAAAACCATAATCAGATTAATCAAATCTGGAGGATTCCCTGAAGAGAGAAAAGATAAGGGTTTATCCACTGTCTCTTAAGCAAAGCAGTTATTATTGTGTAAAATATTATATTGTGTAAAATAGTAAGGCTGCTC